ACCCAGCCAGGTGGGCGGGGTATAAATAATAAAATTACTATTATTAATAATCCATCTGTGGTGATCACACAGGGTCCCCGGACATTTCACTGTCTATTGATCCCTGTGCCACCACTTTATATCTCACTGCCACCACCCAGGCCCTACCTGGTACAATACTGAGTCCAGTCAGGGTTAAATTGGAACATAAACTTCTGTATATTTTTGCAGTTTAACAACGTGTGGTTTCATAAACGGTATCGGTCAATTACAATCAGGGGTGCCTATCCAGACCTATAACTTCCGCTACCTGCTCTCGTTCTCTAAACCACCTCCTCAGATATTTACTTGTCTTCCTAGCCCCTAACTGTTCCTGACTCAGCTTATTTCGCTACACTAACTCAACCTACCCACAGACTCTATCCCAATTCACTCCCACTCCAACCACCCAACTCCCAACGAACTCATCCCTTCGCCCTCCCAGAGCTGGTTTTATAGTCCCTCTGACTCCACCCCCCTGGGTTCTGATTGGGTAACCTGTTTAACTATTTCACCTCCAGCATTCTCATATGTTAACGTCACACCATCCATCGGATAAAGTCCTCATGAGCACAAAAATGTCTGCTATCTTCATCAACTCACTTCCCCTTGGCCAAAAATAGTTACCACCACATATGCAAAAAAGAAAAAGCCCATAACCCATAGGGGTGGAGCACATTACACAAATGCACTCAGGCTGCGCAACTACAACTCACCACATAATTCAGCTATTTGAGCGTCTGCGGAGTAACTATTCCCTATTCCCTTGAACCAGGGAAACAGTGAGCGCTCAAATGCCATCCGTTCAGGAGCCGTTTTTCACCCGATAATTCCTTTCCATAGACTAATGCAGGTGCCTTTTACAGAACAGGCCATGCTTGCCTGTCGCCACATGTCTCACAGCATCAGTGGACTTAACAGATTTCCACCCTCCTCATCCCGTTGCACGGGCCAGAAAAAGCTTGCCCATTATGGCCCCTTTCCTCCTGAAATGCTTCCAGCAGGTCAAACAGTGCAATTGTCTCAGCACCAGAGAGGCGCAAGAGTCCCATTTCATTTTTCCTAATGACCAGCGTTAAATGACTGCAGGTCTTAACAGTGCTGGCAAATTATCAAGGCCCTCTACATTACATGGTCAATGGTCCTTTTAATAGAAAAAGCAATAACGTATAGCTGTTTGTGCCAAGTAAAACTCGTTAGAAAGTATTAGTTTAAGATAACAGTTCAGCAGCTATTAACGACCACAAATGTTTGCCGACGCGCACGTTCCCTCTTCTGGTGGGGTGGGAGGAAGGCGAGAGAAAGAAAAGGCCTGTCACTTTTTCTTAAGTATGGACATTATTGTTTATACAGAGCCATCAATGTATATGAGGCTTGAAGGAGGAGCCTTGGAGAATGGGCAACAGCTCAGTGGTCAAGGGCATGTTTCGAATGCAGGATCAATGCCTGGTTATCACCAGCTACAAAGTTTGCAGATAAAAAAGCTGGGAGAGATCTAGAGAGCTGCTGCAAGCTAAATTACACAGTATTGGCCTATATCTGTAATCTCACTTCTGTGCCGCATTTCTCTAAAAGGAGATTACAAGAGGGAGAGAGGGAAGACAGGGGCAAGAATAACAGCAGGATACAAGGCATGGGTAGGCAAACTAAGGCCCGGAGGCCGGATCCGGCCCAATCGCCTTCTAAATCTGGCCCGTGGACGGTCAGGGATTCAGCGTGTTTTTACATGAGTAGAATGTGTCCTTTTATTTAAAATGCATCTCTGGGTTATTTGTGGGGCATAGGAATATGTTCAAACCCCCCCCCCCGAAATATTGTCCGCCCCCCCCCAAGGTCTGAGGGACAGTGAACCAGCTCCCTGCTGAAAGGTTTGCTGGCCCCTGATACAAGGTATGCATATTGGCAAATGCACCAACACTGACTTAAGTCCTTAAAAGCCCCAAACAGCTTTGGCCCTGTATACCTGAAGGAGTGTCTCCACCCTCATCATCCAGCCCAAACATTGAGGTCCAGCTCTGAGGACCCTCACTGCGAGAAGTGAAGCTACAGGGAGCTAGGCAGAGGGCCTTCTCAGTAGTGGCGCCTGCCCTGTGGAGCACCTTCCCATCAGATGACAAGGAGACAAGTAACTAGACAACTTTCCAAAGACATCTGAAGTTGGGAACATTGGGAAGTTTTTAATGTTTGATGTTTTGTTATTTTATATTCTGTTCAAAGCTGCACAGAGTGGCTGGGGGCAACCAAGTCACATGGGTGGGGTATAAGACCTGTATTTTTTTATTATTATTATTATTATTATTATTATTATTATTATTATTATTATTATTGCAAGGGTAAGCCAACCCTCCAAATGTTGCTTATCTCCAACTTTCATCATCCCTGACCATGCTTGTGGAAGCTGATGGAAATTAGAGCCCAACAACATCTATGAGAACAGGAGAGTTTCTCCTAAAGGTTCCCTGAAGATCAGAAGCCACAGGAGATCAGGGCCTTTAGTGTGGTTGCCCCTGTTCTGTGGAACGGCATTCCTGCCGCTATTCAACAGGTGCCTGCTATCCACACTTACCAGAAACAACTGAAGACGTTTCTGTTCTGGCAACCTTTTCCAGCCATGTGAAAAGATCTCTGCCAGGGGTGTTAACTCAGCAGCACTCCTTTAATATTTATCCAATGTTACTTCCTATGTTTGTTCCCAACTGTTTCTTAGCTGCTTTTGTTGAATTCCGTGCATTGCCCCAAAGCATTTGTGGAAGGCAGTATGATAACATCTGGAAAGCACATGTTTGCTCCCCATGGACTTTGGGTGGGGGAGATCAAATTAAAATGCTTTATAGAAGAGGCAGGGGTTTTTTGGGGGGAGGGCAGGGGTTGAAGCTGGTAGGAGAAAGAGAAGAGGAATCTTATTGGCACGTTGGGAAGGAATTTGAGACAGAACTCCTAAATAGCACCTACTCCCCCCACCCCAAAAAAAGTCTCAAGTTAAACAGTAGTCAAAGTTTAGCAATAATCACTTTTATTTTTTCCACACTAGCATAACATTAGAATTGACTTTGTGTCTTGCTGACATAGCAACTAAGAAAGTCGTGTTGCATTGACCACCATCGATTGCAAGCAATGCAGCCATTGGGGGGACAGACAGGCTCGCCCAAGTGCCATATGTTTTCGATATTGACCTTTTTCTCTTTTTCTATGGCTCTTTGGGCCGGCTATTGAATTTGGACTGCAGTGTAATAAACAGCTGAGGTTTAATTAATGGTAAATGAATACAAGACACAGGTTATGACTTTAACTAATTAGGGAATTGTTGAATTAAGTCTGCCTTGGAATGCAAGGCAGTGCAATCAATATCCAATAAAAGGACTATGTATGTAATTTACCTGCAAATGTGTTTCCAATACCGTCAAAGTGAGTTTAAATAAGTAAGATATATGAAAGGCTACTGTGGGGGGGGGGAGCTTGAGGGAGCAGGGGCGGACAAGAATTTTTTAAAAAGTTAACACTTCACATAGCTTGCAAAATAATGAGAAAAGATGATGAGCTTTGGGAAGTTTAATCAGAAACAAGGAGAGCTGTCTTGCCAAGAGCACAGAATAAGATAGTTAGAAAGGGCCAAAACGATCACTGACTTCGGCCAACTGGTGATATGTAGGCGGGAGGATTCCTATGTGTTTTGATATGAGTAGAAAAATAAGGCAAGCCACAGATGAAGCCGCAAGGTTCAATCTCTGCTGAATTAATTTAGCTTGCACTCAGTTACAGACAAGTCCCATTTTTGTGTGTGGATTTTCCCTACGAATGCACGAATATTCCGCAGGTAAATTGTACACATTTTGTAGGCATTCTTCCTATACAGTGGTACCTCTGGTTAGGTACTTAATTCGTTCTGGAGGTCCGTTCTTAACCTGAAACTGGTCTTAACCTGAAGCGCCACTTTAGCTAATGGGGCCTCCCGCTGCCACTGCGCCACCGGAGCACAATTTCTGTTCTCATCCTGAAGCAAAGTTCTTAACCCGAGGTACTATTTCTGGGTTAGCGGAGTCTGTAACCTGAAGTGTCTGTAACCTGAAGTGTATGTAACCCGAGGTACCACTGCATAGCAAAATGCATAATTATCATTATTATTTTGCATTCTTTTAGGGACCAAAGGGGCACTGCAAAATCTAGAGGTGCACATAATGAGGGGGGAAATCTTTCCCCCCCCCTTCAGCTGAAGGGCCACATTCCATTCTGGATAACCTTCTGGAGGGCCAGAGACAAAAGAATGCGGAGTCCTGAATTTAAACTTCACCTTATACAGTCGGCTGGTTTCTACGCATAGTCATCCTGCCGCCTCTCTATTCTCGCATTCAGGCAAGAAAGAATCATCATCAGAGGTTAAGGACACGCACTCCAGCTAGGCAAATTTATTCAGGAAGGGTGTCAATCAAGGCCAGTGAGGGGCGTGGCCTGAAGAGAGGCTCAATGGCCAAGACGGAGAGGCCTGGAGGGCCAGGGGGATGCCTGAGATTCTCCTTTCCCCGCGTCTAAATTTGCAAGCAGGGCTGTCAAAACAGATTCATCTGCTGCAAAAAGCGGACTGAATGAATTACTTGGCCTGTTCCCAAGTCAGCCTGGAAGCAGTGAGGGGAAAAAAGAGTGAGAGAGTTCCACTCTACTACTGATCTGATTGTACAGCTTCACAGTGCACGACATCAAAGTTTACTTAAAGGCAGTAATTTCCTTTCTTTAAAAAAAAAAGGGAAAAAAGAAGTTCTCTTCGCCTTGCCGCATTATTCAAAATCCACTGTTCTGTAGCATGCTTTCTCCCTTGTAGCACTACCGATTGCCACACTGACTTAGGGGGACAGGAAGTCGCCACACAAAGCCCCATAAACCTGCTGCTTCTCCAAGTGTGCTTCACACCAGCCCAATTACTCATTTCTCCCCCCCGAAATGTTTTTGAAGGGGTGAAGGAAGACCGGGGGAGTTAGAGAGCAACCTACCTACTCCCTTGTGAGCATCTAAGCTGGTAAACTCTATGGTCCCATTATGGCCCTTCTTAGGATTTTCCCGATACTCTTTGTGGTTCCCATCGGGACAATATCTGTAGGCGAGTCCATAATCAGCAAGATAAACCTGGAAGACAAGAGGAGAGAAATGAATGATGCTTTTGTCCTCTGGAAAAAGTATAACCTTTCTAATTAAGCTGGAGGAAAACGGTGGCTTGAGGAGACTCTCAGATCTGCATTTTATTAAGCCAAATGGCATCTCAGGATAAAATATGTCCATCGAGGGGCTGTTAAGAGCTACCCTCGCCTTCCTGAGTTGCGTGCCTCTTCCATACCCAGTCTTATTTCAGAGCAGAAAGGAATTTTTGTCTGTTTTGCTCCTAAGCTATCTTCTCTCCAGGTGGGCCTCCAGACATCATAAAGTGCAATATGTCTTTTATCTGTCTCCATGCTGCTTTTGGGACCCCGTCTCCTCCTTACTAAACACACTCACACACGCAGGCACGACAGATCGTGCCTTTCAACAGCCAGCCCTTCGACAAGTTCATAACAGCCGTGCTTACAGAAAAAGGACGGAAGAGGAAAGTTTCCCGCAAACACCAAGCGTGCGACATACTAATTTTTCCTTCTGGCGGGGGGACAAGAAGGCTCCAGGAGAGAACATCTCTCTGTAGTTGGAACAGAAGCTTTTGAAAGTTTCCCAACAGCCACACGAAAAAAGAACCGCAAATAATCCTGAAAGAGAAGGCCCCCCGGTTGTCAGTTTTGCCATGTCTGAATCTGGCAGCAATAAGGAAGAAATGGTAACCCATTAGGGGCCATGTCTCAAGCAAAACCAGCTATGCTCTCAGAATCTGATGGCCGCCTTGCTGAGCACTTGTTTAATGAACAGAGCATGCCAACTTGGCTTGGTAAACTCTAGGCTGGATTACTGCAATGCGTTATACGTGGGGCTGCCTCTGAAGACGGTTCAGAAACTTCAGCTGGTTGCAGAAGTTGGCTGCTAGGTTGCTCAGTGGGGCAAGAAGGTATGAGCTTATTACACCAATCCTGGCCCAAATGCACTGGCTGCCAATTAGCGTCCAGGCCAAATTCAAACAGATGCTTTTGACCAATAAAGCCTTAAATGGCTCAGGACCACAATACCTCAAAGACCGCCTCTCCCCATATGAACCTACCCAGACCCTGAGATCATCCTCTGAGGTCCTTCTTTGTGTGTCTCCTCCATGTGAGGTCCAGAGGGTGGCAACATGGAAAAGGGCTTTTTTTTTTTTTTTTTTTTTAGTGGCTCTCAATTTGTGGAATGCTCTCAACAGGGAGGCTCATCTGGCACCTTCATTATGTAACTTGAGGTACCAGGCGAAAACATTCCTCTTCTTCCAGGCCTTTGGCTGATTAAAGAATCGATGTCCTTTTAAATTTGAGGAGGTACTATCTTTGTTTGTTATCAAGTAATGTATTTTTGTGTTTTTATTTTGTAAACTGGAGCATGATCTTCGGATGAAGGGTGGTATAGAATCTTAAATAATAATAATAATAGTAGTAGTAACAATAATAATAATATAATAATAATGGTAAGAACTAGGGATATGTTGGGGTGGGGATCCCTAAAGATTTCCCCCCAATATATTTCATAAATGTTTCCAAGAAGCTGTTAGGATATAGTTCCGTCCCACCTTTAGAACAGGCATGTGAAGTTGTTGTAAGTCAAATGTCTGTTTACTTCCAGCACAGTCTGCTGGGAACTTCCGTTGTATATAGCTTTTGCCAATGCTGTTTGCTTGGACACGAAGGGAAGCAGACGTGTTTTTCCTTTGTTCTAATGCTGAATAAAATGCTTGTAAATACACCTTACATATGCCTCTGTCCGCCACTTCCGTTGTGAAGAGTTATTCACTCTGCTGATTAGAGCGTGCTCAAGTTTCTGAAGGCTTCTGAAGCTATGAGTCGCTGATTGATGCTGTTCCAAGGGAGACCGGAGTTCGCCCGGCTGCCGGCTGGTGGGCTGGAGCCAGCTGGGGGCCTGTGAATTGCCCCCGTTCCAGGGACGCATCCCAACAGAAGCAAACACAATGTACAGCGGTACTTCGGTTTTTGAACGTAATCCATTCCAGAAGATTGTTCGAGTTCCGAAACTTTTGAACACCGAGGCGCAAAGGGCTGGTTGCAAATGCAATTGAGAAAATTGAAAAATACGCAGAGGAACCTGTTCCAACTTCCGAGGTGCGTTCGAGAACCGAGGTACCACTGTAGCAGAAATATATTTGTTACGAATTCAGATCATGGGAAGTCGCAAAATTAAGATTATAATTTGGAAGACAATTGGATTTTTTAAAAAGTTTTTTATTTTTATTGGATTGTGATTTGATATGTTAACTGGGTGTTTTTATTGGAAAATTAATAAACACTCTAAAAAAAAAGAAAGAAATATATTTGTTACTGTACACCAGGGGCGTCCAACTTCCAAGAGACTGTGATCTACTCACAGAATAAAAAACTGGCAGTGGTTCAGGTCGAAGTTGTTGAGGTTTTTTTAAGGGAGAAAAAGTAAAGGGGGAAAAGTCAGTCACCAAAAGATCGCTAAGGAGACAATCTGCCTCACAGCGAAGACTCCATCTTCCGTCCCAGCAATCATGCAAAAATGGAGGATGGGGCGAGGGGCCGGGGCCAGATGCTCTTATGCCACTGCAAAGGAGGCCGCGATTGACCAGAACATCCTGGGGATTGACCAATTGATCTCAATCAACCTGTTGGACAGCGCTGCAGTACACCACAGGGTTTGGGGAACTTCTGGTCCACAGGCCCCATCTGACCTGCCAAAGCTCCTCCAGAGCATGGAGTAAGGTAAAGGGTAAAGAGACCCCTGACCATTAGGTCCAGTCGCAGACTTCTCTGGGGTTGCAGCGCTCATCTCGCTTTATTGGCCGAGGAAGCCGGCTTGCAGCTTCCAGGTCATGTGGCCAGCATGACTAAGCCGCTTCTGGCGAACCAAAGCAGCGCACGGAAACGGCGTTTACCTTCCCGCTGGAGCGGTACCTATTTATCTACTTAAACTTTGACGTGCTTTCGAACTGCTAGGTTGGCAGGAGCAGGGACCGAGCAATGGGAGCTCACTCTGTCACAGGGATTCGAACCGCTGACCTTCTGATCGGCAAGCCCTAGGCTCTGTGGTTTAACCCACAGCGCCACCCGCGTCCGAGAGCATGGAGTACAGTGGCCAAATTATCCAAACAGGGTTGTAGCTGGCGAACCAGCCAGAAGTATTTAAAGAAGAAGAAGAAGAGTTTGGATTTGATATCCCGCCTTTCACTCCCTTTAAGGAGTCCCGAAGCGGCTAACATTCTCCTTTCCCTTCCTCCCCCACAACAAACACTCTGTGAGGTGAGTGGGGCTGAGAGACTTCAAAGAAGTGTGACTGGCCCAAGGTCACCCAGCAGCTGCATGTGGAGGAGCGGAGACGCGAACTCGGTTCCCCAGATTACGAGACTACCGCTCTTAACCACTACACCACACTGGCTCTCAGAAAGAGAAAGGCAATCCTCACCGCTGAGGCCACCTGAGCCTCCAGGGACAGTGTTGAATCCAGGATCACCTGCAAGATGCAGACCTGCTCCTTTCAAGGGAGTGCAACTCCCCACCTGCCGGACAGGCCACCCCCTGCGCTAGGCTAAACATGAAAAGAAACGTAAAAAAACAAATTATGGAGTTACAGCACCACCGAGGAAACAGCCCAAAGTCTTCGGAGAATACGCACCTGTTAAAAGCTTGGCAATAATAAGTGGACATTAAGCAGCAGCAGCCACTGCCCTTAAGGCTCATGCTCCCGACCAACACCTTCGAAGCATCACCAGCGTTAAGAAAATCACTGCATTAATTTGCAAGCAGCTAAGTTGGAGAAACTACTTTCCGCATCACTCTTTAACTAGTTTTGTGCTTTCCTGGCAGGCAAATCCCTGCCCTGGAAAATATATATATATATATATATATTAACAGCGCCAGCCTGACCTTGCTCTTAATTTAATTATATTGCTCTTGATGGGCTTCTTTCTTTTCCGTCTCCCTTTTCCTTTTCTCTTTTTCTACACACAAAAAAGGCAGTCAGGCTATCTGGTAGCTGATTCTATTAAAATTACTGACTCCTGTTTGTGCCCCCGGCAGATTTACAGTCTTGGGATGGCTGGTCTGTGTCTTAAAGGGGAGGGGGACCCTGATTCTTGCTGCTGCATTTTCTGTGCCTATTTGGAGCGTGTCACCAGGACTACAGCTTTCTGTTCCTGCAGGGGCAACAGCTTTTAAAGATTATACTGATTATATTTCTCACCTGACGACCTGTACAAACTGCAATACAAAGATTAAAGACTGGAGGCGGCGTTTGGAAATCTGGGACAAGGCATAAAGTTTTGTCAGGTTGACCGACTCTTATTTCCTCCCGTATCCTCTAGCAGATTCATGCTGCTTGCTACCCAGCCTAGCCGAGCTGGAAAGACAATAATGCGTCAAGTCACTGTGACGGAAGAGGCGACTTAAGTGGAACTGGCTGGCATTCCCTTGTCATTGAACTTAGCAATGTAAGAGGCAGCCTTGCCCAAATATTGCCTCCATCTAGGCACAGAGAGCTATGCTTTATTTTATTATTGGAAATCACGAACTGTGGCTAGCCAACTGCAATTCTGACACTGCTTAAATGCAGAGGGGGGGGAAACACACAGTTTAGAGGAGGGAACAGTAAACTTTTTCAGCAGGGGGCCGGTCCACTGTCCCTCAGACCTTGTGGGGGGCCGGACTATATTTTTTGGGGGGGAAATGAATGAATTCCTATGCCCCACAAATAACCCAGAGATGCATTTTAAATAAAAGGACACATTCTGCTCATGTAAAAACACGCTGATTCCCGGATTGTCCACGAGCCGGATTGAGAAGGCGATTGGGCCGGATCCGGCCCCCGGACCTTAGTTTGTCTACCCATGCTTAGAGCACTTTCCAAAGCAGTTTAAGCAACTTTTAACAGGACAGAAAGGATGCCATAAAATAAACTCTGAAAGAAGAAAGATTCCACCAGCCTTAAGACAAAAAGTCACAGATGTAACGAGACAGGGAGACAGAATTTTGGTCAAAAGTGAGGAAGCT